GTCTGTTTGCTCATGGATGATCAGAAATCATTTAAAAGGGACACAGACACATTGGATTAACCTATGGATTAACTTCAGCAGCGTTTTTATCGTTTTAATGCCATTGAAGACCACTTTGGAGAGACTACAGAGCCAAGGTAAAAATGTTAGCATTTTTAGCTACCTAGCGTCACCTGTTTTGATGTCTGTTTTTGTTTATAACGTCGCAAATTCGTATAATTCAGTGATAATGTGGGTACCCATCGATTCTGTGTCACCTCACGATGTGAATCGATGTCATGGATGTGGAGAAGAGATAAATAATAAGGTTTTGTGAGTGATTTTCGGTGCAGTAATCTGTTTTTCGCTCGTTGCTAATTCAGAGGCTCAGTGTTAGCATTGTGGGTTTTCTTTTGAAAAAAAAAAAAAAGATCAGTTAGATGAGTTTCTTCCTGTTACATGGATATAAAACATTCATAGTTTATTAAATGAACATGCCCTCAGACACTGTTTCCTGCAAGATGTTGCGGCAGTGCCCCGGTACCGGGGTCTCTCGGGCTTAACAGGTTAAGCAGATAACTCCTATTTGGCACCTGTTGCTCTGGAGTAATCTACCAATCAGAGGTTCAGTGGTCCGATTCTTAGACCGTGCAGTAAAGATTTCACAGTGTCCTTGGGCAAAATACCTAACCCAGATAAGTGTATAAAAGTTGCTATGTATAAAAAGCATCAGCTGAATGACATGTAATACCTTATTTATATGAATTATACATTTGATAAACTCAGCACTTTCTTCAGATGAAAGTCTGTTTTACGGGGTTGTGTTTTTCCCCAAAGGGAGTAGTATCCTGTAGTATTTCATAGAGGAAGGAGTTACTCTCTTGACATCACATAACAGCGGTTTGTGCTTAATTTCCCCAAAAAGAAAGCGCACAATTTATTTTGTGTGAGTTTCCAAATATGGAACTACATGGTTTACCAAGCTGCCAGCGAACATTAATCTCATGTTGTTAATTATGGTAATACGCTCTTTTTTGTGTACTAGGACAGATTTAAGTTAAAGGATACAGTTGGATATTTTCAAGTCCATCTATTTATTTTGTTGTTATTTTCTCCACTTGATCACGCCAACACAAATTCCTAAAAATAACTTTTACAGTAAGGTTTGACTTTCTAGTCCGTCGTAATCTATTTATTACCCATCATTTTTTTAACAACAAGACCTATTTCAAAGCATTACATTGTTAAATTAAATTATAAATATAGAGAACAAGCTTTTACTTTATAAGGGAATGGCGATAATATACAAACAGACTTTGCACTAATCTTCATGTCAACACAAACGAAGCAGATGAATGATTTTTTTCCTGCTGTGAGGGTTAGGCCATGCTAGAAGACGATTCAAGACAATTTATCTTCCTTATTATACGAAGTCTTCAGCCCTAATCAAAGCTGACTAAAGTGACATGACATTCAATAAATGAAGCAACATTTACAATATGAAATTTCTGATTACAAGTGTTCTTCAGCACAATAAACTTTGCAAAAAGACATTAACCAGGAAATGAAATGCCTGAGAACATAATATTTTAACATCACTATCACGCTATTGAAGATTCCAGCAAATATACCAATACTTTAAACATTTGTGTGTGATTCTTCCCTTTCTACTTGCGTCTACTTTTTGCTACTCTCCTCCTCAGGCCAGCTCTTTTTACTGGCATGACTGAAAAGCAGAGAAACGGAAGACTGGCGGAGGTGGAGATTAAGCAATGGACGGTGGGGGATTTTTTATGAGTCCGCGTGGATCAAAGGGGCTGAGGCAGAGAAATGCACACATGCACACACAAAGACCTGTGTTCAGGCCGACAGGAATTGGCTGCTGAATGCAAAGTTCCTACTTGATGCAGGGTGCCCGTTGAAAAAGGGAAAAAAGAGGTTGAAAAAGCTGATTGTTCACCTCCTTTACCCCGGGTGCCAAGCCCTCTTAAGAAACGGCTGTTTTCGTATGAACTCGCCCAACCTGTGGCTTTTTAACTCGACATCTGATTTGTTTGAAAAGTGCAATTACACAAGAGGAAAAAGGGTGAGGGATTGGAAATGAGGGAGGGAAAAAAATGGCCTCAAAGAGCGCTGGAGAGAGGGTGAGAAGTGACGCCAAAGACAGACTTATGATAATAATAGAGAGCATTAGAGGTGTGTGAGCTACAGGGTGCTTATTTAGTTATGTAAGGCCGGGCGCTCAATCTGCAGGCTTGTTTTGAGAAATCCTCGGTATTTCCACTGTCAAGACCGACATGTGTTCAGCACATGGCCGACTGAAAACACAAGTGCCCCCCCCCCCCCCCCCCCCCCTCTCTTTTTTTCCCCCTCCGAGTACAGCACTCCCGACACAAACTGGGTCATAGGCACAATCCCACCATCTGTCAGACATCGCTTGCCTTCGGTTTCACATTCCTGCACCGCGGAGACCCCCGCCGGTCTGCGCACATGTGCACACAACCACACCATGTCCACACACAACCACACCATGTCCACACACACACACACACACACACACACACACACACACACACACACACACACACACACACACACACACACACACACACACACACACACACACACACACACACACACACACACACACACACACACACACACACACACACACACACACACCACACACACACACACACACACACACACACACACACACACACACACACACACACACACACACACACACATCACACACACACACACACTCACACACACACACACACACACACACACACACACCAGGGGGATGAAGCTGCCTTCTGTCAACAATCAGTCTAAATGGAGAGCGCAGCGGACAGCCTCGCCACCAAACGTTGTGGGGTCGTCTGTTCAGACTGTTTCAAAGTCCGCCTCACAGCAGATGGAGGGCTCACAGTTGCTGATCAAGTCCCCGGCAACTGGCTGACATCAGCAAAAGATCAACAAAATCAAACTCAAGACTGGTACAAGAGTGAGGACGAACCTTTTAGAGGTACAATCGTTTTCACTCTTTGACAGACTTAAAGGTCACCTATCATGCTATTATTAGGCAATAGCACAGGTCTCAGATATATACAAATATATAAAAAACATGTCTATGAAGTGTTTTGCTCAAAATACCAAACAGATCACCCATTCTAGCCATGCCTCATATCCCTCTATTTCACTTCCTGTTTCAAAAGGGCTGATTTGGGGTATAAAGCTTTAAAAAAAAAGAAGAAAATTGATTTAAAAAAAAAAAAAGGAGGGGGCTGAGCTCATGCGGGAGAAGCGACCGGCAGATACTGCGGTGATGAAACGCCATATCATGGATTATCAAGGATTATTTCTGAAACAGTATGGAGCTCAAAGGCTTTCTCTCTTGCCGGTTATACTACAAGGTGAGTTCCTTTTTATTTCCTGCTTCTTCACACACATGCTCTCCAGTACAGGTTAGCTCTGAGTGTTAGCGATGCTAATGTAAACATGCACCGACCATATTATGTCCCAAACAGTCGGGCATTGTTTCTGATAGCAACGTTTCTGATAGGGCCGTGGGTGTAAAGCCAGCCTACATTTCCAATATTACGTCATATCGGACGCAAATCTGGATCAGCTCCGTTGTAGCCCCGTTTTTAGAGATTTGGGTACGGAGGAAAAGAGAGAGGGTTTTATTTTCTGACGCTGCGTGAGTTCCCTGACACACCGGGGACACATATTTATGTATAAAAGACATCAAAAAGTGCATTTTGCATGATAGGTCCCCTTTAAATACACAGTCAAGTTTTCACAAATAAAATAACAAATAAGGTAATTGTTAAGTATTCATTTTTTTGGAATTTATGTAAGTTTTACCTTTAGAGATATCCTGATCACATTCTTTTATAAAACATATATCGTTTTTTTAACTACTTTTTACTTTGCTAGTGTCATCTGTAGTGTTTATTTTTTGCATAAAACAAATTCAAATGATTAGGAAAAAGATGATTAAACTTTAATTTAGATATTTGTTTTGATGAAAAGTCATCTTGGCATTATTACTTTCCATTATGCGTCATAAGCTTTTGTCCTAATTTAGGTCATAATACTCTTTTTTATATTGTTGTGAAAACAACCACATTCATTTTACGAATCATGATTCGTGATTCATGATTTTTTGTTTTTTTCTTGCTCATTTTTAATGAATAGAGTTTGGACAAACCAGCCAAGCAGGGCTCTGCTGCCCACAGGCTGCTAATGACTAACAGCCAACCTGCACTCCACCTGCCAATTTAAACACTGATCTTATGTTAACAATGTAAATTGGCAACTAGAAAAACGATCTGTGGTGTGTAGAAATAAGGTCCATCGAGAGTAAGATGCCTAAAAATGAATATCACATGAAATTCATGTACAGTGGCTATTCATGGCTTTCAGCACTTGCCTGGGAAATGTCACAAATCGCTCCAATAATAGCGTAATGCACATGTATACCATGCTAGCACAGATAACAAGGACAGCACCACCTGTAATTCTTCATCCATGTTCATAAAACACTGCTAGAGAAGGCTGATGGGGCGATAAGACCCAATGAGGGAGCGAAGGTGGTTCAAAATCAGTGTCCGCCTGAAAAGACCTATACCCGGTCGCGGAGTTTTCAAACTAGAACAGGAACAGCGATGTTTTCAAAAGTCAGAAGTGTGGAGGCTTCTAGGTAAACTCTGGTGCTGTTTTCTTCTGGTTAGTAAAACAACGAACCAATAAAAGCACTTTATGAAAGTAAATGTCTGATTTTAGCATGAATTCATAACATAACTACAACCTAAAACCATGTGCTGATATTGAATATGCAATGTGAAATTAAGCCATCTGTATTGGCTATGGTATGACAAATTCAGCTAGAAACCATGTGAGACAGCGCATGTCAAAAAAAGGGCGGACTCTCCATAGTTTTCAGATATTCAAAAAGAGTTGTATTTGTTTCCTGCTGTCTTAAAGCATGAGTCTCAGGATCTACTCACCATTCAGAATACTGATCTTCGTTCCACACAAACACACCAACACATCCAGAAAGGCTGCTCTGGTCACCGCACAGCCATTTTGTCTAGAAAGAGGAGAATGACCTTAAGCTTTTTCATTAAACAAATGTTCCCTGGATGATTCATTCTGCTTTGATCTAGCACAGGACATTAAATATAAAATCTCCCTTTTATTAAGTAAGACCCTTAAAATGTTCCTAAACCTTTTATCGAGTTAAAAAGATAACACTACAGTCATTGATATTGTCATTGTTTGCGGTGAGTCATTGACTCATGTCTAACCGCAAACAGTTCAATTAGACCATTTAAATGAAAGTATTAGCTTTGGTTTGATCTCAAGGGCTGACGTCTTTTCGCCATTTCATATCTGACCTTCCCTTGTGGCTTTAATGGTTCCTGTTATGACGTTAAAAAAGTTTAACAAGCATAAAGCGCTTATAAATTATAAAAGGATTTGAACTAATGCTACATTCATTAGCATTCTAAAGCAAGGTTAATGCATTGTTTGTATCTCTTGTTATCCATTCTTTTGTGTGCTATCTAGTGAGCCTGACTCTTTAGTTTAATAGTTTTTTAATTCACTTGTAAATGGTTTACAATTCAAAACTCGAAAAATGAAATACGACACAAAAATTAAACAACTGTATATGCAGTCAATTGCCTGTTCATAACTTTTATCTCATGATTTGTAATGTAATATCTGTTTCATTATAATCATTTGTTACCTTTCTTTGCTGAAGGCTTTACAAACCTTTAACCTTAAAGTTGACATTGGAACTTTTTTTTTGGATGATTTCTAATTATTGAAATCCCGATATTTTACAGATAAAGATTAAGCTACATCTATTTTTATTAATTTCATGTTCTTTGAGGAATTGTATTCTAGTGGTGGCTGCGTATGATTGTTTCCGACTCAAGTGATGCAAGCATTTCCTATAACTCCAACTCCTTGTGAATTCCAAAAGTTAGAAATGAATGAAAAAAACAAAAACAGAATGAATTATAAATATTCCACCTTAATCTATATTTGTTGGCATTTAGTCTTTTAAAAACATAATTTGTACCAAACTATTTGCTCCCCCGATTCCACCGATAAAGAAACACACCCTCCTATATTTTCAGGGTTGCCTAGAAGCAACATAAACAACATTTCAATTGTTCTATATTTTTAGGACGAGGACGTCATAAATGATGACTAGAGACAATTGTCAAGTTCAGGACACTTGTGAAAAGAGATCCTTAATCCCCATGAGTCGTTCATGGTTAATTAAAGGTATTATTCATACAAAAGTACAGTAACATAAAAAATAAATGTACCAAATATTGGCTTCAGCCCGTTTCCTGTTGGTTACAGCATGTGGTATTGATTGGATAACAGATAAGAGTTTAAGCTTTACATGTGTACCACAAAAACAAAACGTTACTGTAAAGTCTGGCTGAGCAGAGTCGATGCCGAACAGGACAGCATTTAGTTGTTCTGTTTGTTTTTGTTTGTGGTCCGTCCTCAATGTGGAACCATCACATGAGAAGACCCCAGCGGCACCATCGCAGATTTGATTAATTCACTCATATTTCACACGCATATGACCAATCAAAGGCTCCTTTTCATAATTTCCTCCAAAAATATCAATGTTGAATAATTGATTCACCATAAAACCTATGACTATTTTGGCTTAATCATGATATAAAGGTATTGTTGTGATAATATTATTTGCTATAAAGTGTTATACATCAGGTTAAGTGGAGCAGCGTGTGTGCGCAGTGCGAAGTGGGTTCGGTTCAGTGTGCGTTCAATCAAGGGTGCGTTCCAACAGCGCTGTGAAAGCCCACAAGTGTGTGTGTGTGAAAACAAGGGACACTGTGTGTGAGCTTGACGTCAGATTTTTTAAAGTCTGATATTAATAAAACACACACATTCACGTGATGAAGCATGGGGTGTGTGAAAATATGTTGGGCACGGATGAGTCCTGTGAAGCGTGTTCATCTATGTATAAATGTGAGGAAACATTATTTATATTATGTAGCCCCGCCCCTTTTCCTACTTCCGGTTCAAATGCATATCTATCTATCCATCCATCTATCTAGCGAAAGTTAGCTTTGTACTTTACAGGCTAGCTAATATTTGATCTCTATCTAACAAACTAGCGAATGTTAGATATCTAGCTAGCCGTTGGGAAATTGGTGGCTCTCGACATTTAAATATAAATTGTTAGTTTCCCACCTTAAAAGGTGTTTTTAATTTAAAGCAATTTTTTCAAAAGCATAAAAACTATTTCCTTTGCAGGTAAAGGTGCATAAAGCTGCTGTGCTGATGCTAAACAAAGTTATAGCAATCACACAGAGGATAGATAATTAGGTGCTATCCAGAGCATATAACGATTATATATTCAAAAATGTTAAATTAAAATGTGTTAAATTCATAACATGTAGCGTAGGGACACTGACGGGTAAAAAAGCCTACTATATTAATCAAAGGTTGAGGATTACATTTTCCATAGCTCCGACTTTACTGAACCTAACTGGTCACTATTGGGGCAATTGTTGCGCAGGTGGTCAATATGTTTAAACTAATGAGAAGGTCAGCGGTTCGACTCCACCCCCTGTAATGAACAAATCAAAGTGTCCTTGGGCAAGTTACCAAATTGCTCCCGTAGGCCTGTCTACACTTTGCAAGTGCATGAAAGTTTGGGATAAATGCGTCAGCTAAATAACATGTAATGTAATATATGGATTTAGTGGATATAGCTGACATCCTCTTGGAGCCATAAAAAGTCCAAAATGACACAACACAGAGACGGTGTGAGGCCAAAACCCAACACTGACTCAGAGCAGACGAACAATGCATTCCGAAACTTTTTGGAAGGTGGCCGTTTCAAATTAGTGGTGTTCTGGACGAGACGAGAGGTTTTTCTATAAAAAACAGAGATCCTCTGACCTGCGTTGTCCTTAGATCTGGGCTCTGTGGTGCAGCATGATCAAACGGACAGACGCCGGGCTCGCTCCGGTGAGCAAGAATTCACCTCGTCATCTTAATAAAGGCTCATCAGTGCAGCCAAGCGGAGCTAGCGGGGCTAGTGTTGCTAACCTAGCGACCTTGTGTTATCTGCTGAGGGCCGCAGCACAGGGGAGGCCAGAGACCCCGGCCTGACCTGGGCCGGGCAGGAGGGGGTAATCTGTGCCCCATCTTGAGGTCTCGATGTTGGCCAGGAGGGGCAGGGGTACAAGGCGGGGGAGGGGAGGAAGGAGGGATGGGGGGTCTGCGGATGGGACAGCAGGCGGTTCGCTTTGAAATGGAAGCCTGGGCAGGACATGAAGCGGACACGGCAAGGGAGGGGATGAACGGTGAGACAAGGAGCTATTCTTCTGGTTAGAGAGTTGGGAAGGCGGGAGGGATGCTTATCTGTGCATGCGTGTGTGTGTGTGTGTGTGTGTGTGTGTGTGTGTGTGTGTGTGTGTGTGTGTGTGTGTGTGTGTGTGTGTGTGTGTGTGTGTGTGTGTGTGTGTGTGTGCGTCTAGGATTACCGAGAAGCAAGCCACATGCGCTGACGGAGGCCTCGGGTGATGCCATTTCCTGCTGGCAGGGGTCTGTGAGAGTCAGTCTGGTAGGAGCGCAGCAGAAACACCACCTGCATACACACAAATACACACATTCTTGAATTGATATACATGTGAGAATTATGACCTATTACATTTATACATGAGCCATGATTGGAACTGCTAGATATGTTGATCCACAGATGATATTTTGATAATATATCATCATTAAAGTGATTTCCCATGCAAAAATGGCAGAATATTACGATTTCAGACACTCAAATGGGGATATTTTCTACTTTTCTCTGTTTTAAATCATATCAAGGTGACATTTTCATTACTAAATGTTAGATCGATCAATGGACAAAAAAATAATCGATAATGAAGACTCAAATGTCTTCATTATCGATTATTTTTTCGAGTCTGTCAGATCGCTTCTCTCGAAAACTGACCCTGCAAAATCCTGTTTCAAAACATACAGTTGGATCAAACAGCCAAAGGCATGAACATTTTAATACTAAACATTAATCTCACAAACTGTTGGTCACTATCATTTCACCAGACAATAAACATGCCACCCCCCCCCCCCACCCTCTAGACAACCATCCTTCCCGTCACTTGACTTCTGGCCCCTGTGGTGCAAACAGGCGGGTACGTAAACACCAGCAGTGACTGCGCAGTGACTAACAGTGACAGGGAATGTTAAAGAATTCCCAAGAAGAATGTTTCCCATTGAAGACCAAATCATTCTTCTCATTGTGGCCGATGTGACAGTGTGTGACTGAGCCAGTTTGCAGCAGGTGGACTGGTAGTGGGGAGTGTTACGGAGGCCGGGACACAGGCTGGCTGGCTGGCTGGGGTGTGTATTCTGGGCCTTGGTAAGTATACTCTTTTAAGCCGGGGCCACGGCCACAGACCAGTAGGAAGCCATTCATTACGCAGTGCAGGGAAGGAAACGTGGGGAAAAACCAGGCCGACCACGTAGCACCAAGCCTGGCCACCGAGTCCTGGCCTGCCCCTTCTCTCCTCCTGCCGTCTCCACGCCCGGGCTACACCCACTGGCTGCAAACAGCTCCTACACCCCTGGGTCCTTCTTCTGTCTGCTGTCATTCTCTGAGGGATGTTCCACCAACAGGAGCCAGTGCTGGAGCATATTCCCAAACCAAATGTTTAATCTTTCCAAGTAAAACTGGTTCTAGAGGATCAGTCACACTTGAAAAGGTCTTTGCAAATATTTGCTGAGCTGCTTACTGACCTCCTTAAATCTCATGTTACTTAAATCTAACAATCTCCAATTGTAATGCAAGCTCCAACCAGTTTTGGCAGACGGCCAGGTTACGGCTCACCTGAGTACAACTTTAAATGTTTGATGAATAGAAACAATTATCTCTTGATAATTGTTGTCTTTCAAAAAACATAGTAATAAGTGATTCAAGCACTTTCCTATTAAACACACAATATGTAATTTTCTACCAATTGGGATTCCTTCATTGTTCCTTGTCCAAAGGTTTCTACCTGGAAATCAAACCCAGTGTTTAAAAACTGTTAAAAATGCTGAATTAGACTGCTTCATGTTTAATGCTTCCCCAGTCTCAGCCTGTTTCTCTGATAACTTAAAGGGGACCTATTATGCAAAATCCACTTTTTCATATATGTTATACATAAACATGTGTACCCTCTGTGTAAAGAGATTCTGAAAGTCTCAGGAAAAAGGATTCACTCACTTTTTGTCCTGATCCATTTTTATATAAAAACCTGTCTGAGAATGAGCTGATCAGATTTTGGCCACTTTATGATGTCATAACGATTTTTTGGCTTGTGTAACCATTAGCCAATAACCAACCAAGGTAACACCCGACCACCTTATCACCTGAATCTCCTCTAGAGCACCATTGTGTTCTTTTTAACCAAATATCTCTCAGAGGGGCGTGGGGAGTGGCTCCTTATTTTCATCTAAAGTAATAGACTCAGAATCAGCACTTTTGAAACAGGGCTGAAACAGAGGGGATTATGGGATGCTGCAACGCACGATCTGTTTGGTGTTTCGAGCCAAACACTTCAGAGACATGTTTTGTATATCTGAGACCGATAATATATTGATGAAAAACAGTATAATAAGGGACCTTTAAGATTCAGGGGACCCGTTCCTGAAATCCTTCATCTGGATAAAATATGTGGTTAAAAATGTAAAAGATCGAAAGAGTGTATGCTCAAAATGTGGCTTTAAAAAGGCTATTACCTGGGACCAAATAAAACTAAAAAACATGCCGTTTAAAATAAAACATGTTTCTCTGGGTTTGAACATTTTCTCAAAACAGCCTTTGCACTAGGTCCCGCAACATTAGTTGTCTCCAAGAGCAATGACACAGACTTACAAGGGGAAAATCAGCGTCACTGTCAGCGTGATTTAAAAAGGTTTATGTTTTTATATAATACCTTTTAACTTTTTGGCCTCTTACACTTGTTTATCACCTGCGGCCTACAACAGTGTGGTTATATGAAGGCTGAACATTTGAAGATCTTGGTGGTAAAGGAATCGTTTGACGTGGCGTTGAACCCAACATAAATCGTGTTTGAGGTGTCATGACGGTTTCTGGTTTCTCAGAATTGTCAAACTTGTTTGTTTTTTTGCTTTCAGGCTGTTCAAACAAACCAAAGAATGCTGTAATTGGTTGTTGGTATGCCTTGTGAAATCGGTAAACTCATTCACAGGGCGGCAGATTAAAAGGTTGCAGCACCGGTCCCAGCTCTGGTTGCAGAGTCAGTGACAGAGCCCTCTGTCTTTATTCCATCTCCATTCAGTCCACAGCTACACCTCAGTCAGCGGGTGGGGAAGTCCCTGCATGGGAGGCTCAACCGGCTCAATCCAGAGAAAACTGGAATATTTATAGAAAATGCAGCCTCCCTGTTCCTCCTCCCAAAGACAGAGCAGAACTACACCCCATGTGCGAGGAGATGCTGGGACTGGATCGAGCTCAGATGAATGGGAAAATGTAAGACAGCAGCACAGAGACTTCGTGCAGGCTCATTTCTTTCCGCACATGTCAGGATTTTTTCTTTGGCCTTTTTTGTTCAATTAGTCCTACTACACCTGTAGGGAAATGTTTCTATCAATTATTACTTATTCAGACCCAACTACTGCACAGTATCTACAAGTGAATTGAATTTAAGAAGGTTTCAATCTTATATTGAATTATTGTGTTATTTTGGTAAACAAGCAGCATTCATCGTCATGGGTGTGCAACCGAACAGGGACCCACATTTAAAAATATGAGGTCAAAAACTTAACAGGGTAACTTGAGATCATTTTGGATCAGATACTTTTTAAATTTCAAATAAAAATGAGAAAGAAAGCCCTTGTAGCTACCATATTCTATTAAATCGTAACTGTTTGTGAACGTAATTTTAATATGCCGGTTACCTAATTGTGTATGTGTTGAAGAAGTTTAAAGGCCCAACCATAGTTCTGACTGTTTAAAAGTAAGGTGTGTTTCTCTGAATTTCTCAAATACTTTTTCGTGAAAAGTTCTTCATTTTTAACTCAGCTCTTATGGGAGATAATTGTTCCAATGTAATAGTTATTTATTTTCAATTTAAAGAAAACGTAGTAGCTTATATCTGGCTCCGGATGTTGATGTACCGAAACAATGAACAGAAAAACATTAAAGCACTAAAAGAAGGTGAGGTAAACTGCAGAGCTGCGTTAACTGGGAGCAACACCTTGTTACATTAGACACATTCATTTGATCCATTATCAATACAAATATTTGTTTGTATTTATTTCCCAAATATCCTTCCTTCTTTATGATCGTAAACCCCCCTCGAGCTTTGAGTTGCAAATTTAAAGAGCAAGAAATACTTGGTGTGGCAGTGCTAAATATGAAAAATATCAAAAACCTATTTGTACGCCTTGTTTTCTAACTGAGGCGTTTTACTGCTTGTGTGTGTGTTGTTTTCTGTGTGAGTGTGTGTTGCAATAAGCCTTGCTCCTCTTTTGGGTCCGGTAAAAATAGTGGTGGTGGATGTGAGGTCCCTTCAGACTCTGTTATCAGCCTGCCCTGCCGTCCCTCCCACTGCCGCAACCACAGACTGACCACACGCTGCAGCGAGCACAGACACACACTCATACACACACACAGCAAGTGCAAATAATTGCACGCCAATTCATGCCCCAGTCCAGTAAAACACATGCACAAAGAAACATATAAATCGACATTCACATAAAACCAGATAGAGGTTAGGCGAAGTGTGGACGCGCCCAATTAGACAAAAAGAGATCCCAATAAAGTCGGGCTAAATATAAAAAAGAAATAAACACACTCTCTTGCTCTATATAGCCGTACTCTTGCACAAACAAAGCTTAAATATGCACTGTAGATATACTCCCTCACACATGCAATATACACACGGGCGTGACAACCAAGTCATTTCGTGGTGTATGTCTGTGCGTGCATGCTAGAACTGTGTTACTACATTTTGTCAAAAAATATTACAGCAGTGTATCTCAACTAGCAGCCAAGAGAGATGTTTGTTAATTCCATTATGTCCAGAGAGCAGTAAATATTAGTTTACTGGCAGAATGAGCTGTGTGTGGTAGGGTGAAGTTCAGTAGCCCATTGCTATAATTCCTGCAGTAAAACGTGAGTAACTTCCAACACAACTGCTAAAACCCAAGTCAGCTTTTTACTTTTGATCATACATTCAAATAGGTACGTTTTACATATTTGCTTCAGATTGCCCAACTCCATGGTCCACAACTTAAGTACCTCTTTTTTAATCATATAATAAGATTAAATTGCAAAAACATTATATATTTGTTTAATTAAGTAATTAAATATTTATAAAAATGTTTTCATATTATTAAAATTAAGAGCTAAGAGCTTTAACAAATGCCTATTCCGCTCAGATTAATACTAACCAGGGTAAAAGTAAACGTTTAATCTACTACTTAATACAATAAAGAAAGGTCCAAATGAAACTCGTTAGAGCTGGCAGCCCATATACAGGGGCTTAGTCCCAATGCAGAGGACCCAGGTTCAAATCTGGCCTGCGACCATTTGCCGCGTGTCATCCCATCTGTCTCCCACATTTA